CCTCCCTCCCTCCCACTCTCTCTAAAAATCAATGGGAAAAATATCCTCGGGTGAGGGTTTACAAAAGAAATAACAAAAAAATAAAAACACTAGTGTCAGTATTATTTCAAGTATGACACAGGCCCGGCTGCAGCCATGGGGCTGAGCTGGCGGAGTTCACGGGCCTCCCTGAGCGCCCTCACCTGGTGGAAGAAGTCGTCCATGAACCGGTCCCTCTCAACGACCACAGCCGTTTCCCCGTCAGCATTTTGCCTGCACTACAGTGGGAAACAGAGAGTCAGGCTCTGAAATGTTTCACGTACACACACAGTGAACTAAAAGATGGGGGCAACCCAGGGGCTCCAGGGCTCCGCCGCAAGAGTGGCAAACTGTACAGAGCCCGCAGAGCTGCACGCTCCCTGGCAGCTAGGTTCTGCGGCACGCCCACCACACAGGCCACAGTGAGAGCAGGACAGGACCCAGGGAGCCCTGCAGGAGGGCGCAGTCCCATCGCAGGGACAACGGTGGGCCCCCAACACGGAGCGGCACAGCATCGTCCATGTTCAGTCAGTCAGTCCATAAGGCCAGCGGGCTCTGCCAAGAAGTGAAACCGCTTGCTCTGCATATCTCCTATGAAAATGAAAGTGCTGACACTGTGCTACCTTCTCTGGGGTACAGAGTGACTGTCCAGGAACTGTCATACTTTCTCCCTGAATGAGTGCCTCTGGTAACACCTCGCTCCAATCAATAACCCCTCCAATGAGGGCAGACTCAATACAGGAGACCTGAGGAAACAAGCTGGGAGAGCACCTCTAACCACCACTGGGAGGAGCCAGAAGGACCCCGTGTCTCAGAAACCCAGTACTTAACTGCAAGTGTAAAATCAACCCCACCCCCCAGGGAAGCTGGGCCTGATTCAGCAGGTCCAGGCGGGGCATTCTAAACATTACTGAACGTTCTAGAATACTGCTGCGTTCTGACAAGTTCCAGGGGACACTGCTGGTGCAGGGGCCCCACTTGAAGAAGCAGCTTCTAGGCAGGGAAACCCACCCAACAGCGCAAAGCCTCTCCCGGGCGGAGAGCCGCGGGGAAGAGGAGCGAGTCGCACTAAACCCAGGGGTCAGACAGCTCATCCAAAGCGTGCGCCGTGGCATGCGCCCTGGCGTGCGAGAGAGAGTGGGATGAGTCTAGGAAAAGGAGAAGACCCACCAGAAGGTGCAGCGCAGGGAACTGAACGGTCTCCCGGGGACACACTGGGCAAGTCAGCTCAGTTCCAACCGCGCTGTGGCGATGGGTTTCAGGACCCTCCACATCCCACTGACAGGCCTATGACCCGGAATAATTGAGAAATAAAATTCTACTGAAGTTTAGCTAAGAAGCATCTGCGAAACGTAATAACTGTATTAAGCAAGCACAGGAAACACTCCGTCTGCACCATCCAGGGCCCTCGCTAAGGCAAATGGATCTGGCCTAAAACCAACCAGAATCCCTCGGGACCCTAAGGAAGGCTCTGTGTAGCCTCTCAGCCTGGGGCCTCTCCTGGGCAGAGACAAGACAGCTCAGGTGGGGAAAGGAGGAAAAAACATGTTTGTCTAAGGAGAGAGGCCCACATACAAGGGCCTTCCTGAGAAAGTAAACACACTGTCGCCAGGGCACAGGACACACGAGCACAGGTGGGCTTCACAGGAGTGGGATCCACCCGAGGGATCACCCCCGCCATGGGCTGGGGCAGAACTGACGCCCGGCGACACGTGTGCACCCTCTGCACGACTCCCCCAGCAGTGCCCGAGTTGCAGAGCCACCACCCTGCCCTCCACGACACAGCTGTTGAGAAAGACGCCTGTACTGTGCAGAGAATGTTTTACTTGTACTCTGTCAACAGGACAAGGGTTAGGGGCTGGGCTGTGTCCCACAAGCAGGCAATGGAGCCCTAACGCCCAGCACACCAGTCAGCGGACATTTGGAAAAAGGGTCTGTGTGATGTCCTCAGGTAAGATGAGGTCAGCCTGGAGCAGGGTGGCCCTGACCCCACATGACTCTGTCCTTACGAGAGGAGACAGGCACACGCAGGGAAAGGTGGCCGGGTGACCAGGGGACAGACTGCAATGATGCCTCCACAAGCCAAGGACGCCAAGGACTGCCAGCCCCACGGGAGGCCAGACAGGGCCCATTAGGACTCTTCCCACAGCTTTGGGGAGCACGGCCTTGCCAACACCCCGAATCCCAACTGCTGCCCTCCAGAGCAACTAGAGGAAGAGCTCTGTGTGGGGAGCTGCTCACTAGCGGGCCCCCAGCTTCCTGTGTCCCTGTCTTCTGGCCTGGGAACTGAGATCACACCTGCCCACCTCCTTGAGAGACAGGGCTGTGAGGATTAGGGGCATTTCCGTAGGGAGCACACACTAGGAAAGGCTTTTAAACTCACTTCTGGTCCACACTCTGCACTAGATACCAATGGCAGGCACTCATCTATCAGCACTTAGCTAAGGGCACTCAGCTAATGAGCACAGGATTAATCGCTGCCAGTCCCTCCAGACCCACGTCCCCAGGGGAAGGAGCTGCCAATGGGCCCTGAGTGCTGCCTCCACGTCACCATCAGAGCACACGGGACAGCTAAGTAAAGGGCCAAGTCTCAGGGCCACGTCTGACTCCAGGTCTGTCTGACCACTGGGCAGAGCATGGGAGGCAACCAACTGATCAATCACTGTGTGTCTCACATTGATGTTTCTCTCTCTCTCTCTCTTCCCCTCCCTCCCTTCCACACTCTCTAAAGAAAACGACGACAATGGAAAACATGCAGGAAGAAACAAACCATCCCCTCGGACATGGGAGGGAAGGAAGATTCCAGGTGTGAGGCTGGCAAAGAAAGGGAGAGAGCCGTCCGTGGTTTTCACGTGGGGGCAGCAAGTGCAAAGGCAGGGAGGTGGGAGGATTGTCAGAAACAGCGAAATGTATCTCATGACAGACACGGCGAGTGTGGGAAGCGACAGTGCTGAAGAGGAAACCCCTTTGGGAACTGGTTTTGTCTTAGGTTTTCTATTCCCGTCATTCAGAATAGACCCGAAGTTAAAAACAAGAAGTATTCGCCTGTGTGGATGTAGAGGTTCCGTTTTTGTTTTTCAAAAGGAACACAGTATGTACACAAATGGATATATTCATTACAGTTAATAGAGAAACTATAGATCCCGAATGAGGGGTTTGTATAAAATTTAGAAACTTGACGGGACTGAATAAACCATGAAATTCTCAACTGTAACCAACTGCATTTGTAAAATTATATACTCTAAAATTCTTAGTATTTTAAGTTTCAGTGAAATAGTTAAGGAAAAAAGTCTTATTTTATAAACCTTCAGAATCTTTACTATGTAACCCTCTGCACTAGAGTGCAATCTGAGAGGTCAACAGGTAGCTTTAAATATACCCGGGCAGCTTTTCCCGCCCTTTAAAAATTGTAGTTGCAACTCATCGCCTTGACCCAAGGGACTGCAGATAACGATCTCATCGCGTCTCTTAGTCTGCTAACCTGTACCACAGGGCTACCCCATGTCTGTCTGTCATCCCGAAAACAGTTCCCACGGTTGAAATCTGTAGTTTCTCTAACCTTAACTATAATAAATACGTCCATTTGCACACACAGGCTTTTTTTTTTTTTTGACCCATTAGCTTGTAGACTCACCGCTGCACTTGGAGTTACTCACATCCTAAGACGCATCTCATTATGTCTCCTTCCCCCTTCCTTCCCCCCTCCTTCCCGGGCTGCGTCCACGGGCAGCGTTCACCCAGCTCACACTGGTGTCCAGTGAGGTTACCTCGCCGCGGCCTGGCACCCAAGGGTCTTTTGGGTGGGTGGTTCTTTTACTTCTCGTAAACCAGAAACATCTTTCTGGATTGAGAATCTAGGAGATCTTGGGCAAGCCCCTTAAATTTTCTGCACACAAGTAAACTGGTTACTCAAAAGAATCATTGGTTAGAAGCAGCTAAATCTATCCTTGACAAATTGTACAGGACAAACTAAGTCCTTTCCAGAGAGTCGTCAGTGATCATCTTTTCCTCAGGAGGAAGCACTAACAGCTAATAAAGGAAACTTTCTGGAGGCATCGCGGGTATTTTGTCCGTGTGGACGTTGCTGATGAGGCATTTCAACTACTAAAATTAAACGTGACCTAGGAAAAAAACACCAGCCCTTTCGAAACACACTTGTGAGTAGACATTCAACTACTCCGAGAACTCCTTGGAAAGAATGTTCACCTCTCAGGTCTGCTAACTTTCAGATGAGTTTTTAAATACTCAAAGTCGCTAAACTTCAAGTACGCCAAACTCGATTTTAACATCGTAGTTTACAGCAGAGAGAAGCTTGCTTTTTATCCCTTTCTGAAGACCTAAGAAACTAATAAATGCTAGCAGCACTCATAATTACACGGCGCTTTCTCTCCCCGCCCAATTCCGTTTCACAGCTCCCTCTAGGAGCGACAGGAGGGGGCTGTCCCATCTGACACGCAGGACAGCTGAGCTCTTGCGAGTCCCAGAAACCATTTCCCCAGATCAGACAACTTCAGAAGCGCAACACCCAGTAATCTGCTCCGCGGGGCGGGTCCCTCCAGCGCTGGACGAGGCGCCCCTGGCGGCTCTGAAATTCTGGCCGGAAACGGGCCGTTGCACCGAGGCCGGAGCGCAGGACACCCGGCGACAGGCCGCGCCCCGCCCTCCGACGCCCCCGCGCTGCTCCCCGGGTCCCGCACCCGCGGCCGTGTTGCCAAAGCAGCCACCGCGGGGCCTCATTTACCCAACAGCGCAGCTCCCGCCGGGGCGGCGACGCACGTCCCCAGAGGGAACCGGCCACGGGCACTGGCTGCGTTTGCTGGGAGGGCCGCTGCCCGCTGCGGGTGTCCAAATACAGCAAATACAGGGTGTCCCCCCAAAAAATGTACATACGCACTGCAGCAGCTCCACTTTGGAAATGAAATGCACTTTAATAAGGTAGTTTCTCTAACCTTAACTATAATAAATATGTCCATTTACAATTATTCAAGGTGTGTATTTTTTTTGGGGGGGGACGACACCCTATAGTTGAGCGCTGATGAAACGGGCAGGAAGGAAACACGGCCACTAAGGGCCCTCCCCGGGGATGCGCGCAGAGCGGGCCGTCCGCGACCCCGACCCGCAGGGCAAGCGGGGCACTGCCCTTCTGAACCCGGCTCCCCGGCCACCCGCGGGACGCGGCCCAACGCG